CATACAAACACTAAGAAAAACACATACAGACGCAGAACAGGGGACTTAACAAAACTATCGCAACGGCATTACACTCATTACATGAGCATCAAACATAAATTTTTATATGCACTTGCAATAAAATAGTTACATGAGACAGAGAAACCCACCGGATGTTGACTGGCGTGGCCGATGGTGCAAATAAAATTGAAAAGAACCGTATAATTAAAGTTATTAAAGGAGCGACTTCCGCTCGCTTCTATAAAGAAAAATGGGCACCGAGGAAAGTAAAATGTAGTTTGAAATACTGGATACAACTTTGTGTAATTGAACCAAGTGTATATATATATATATATATATATATATATATACATACATATGCATATATATATATATATATATATATATATATATATATATAAATAAATATAAATATAAATATAAATATAAATATAAATATAAACATAAACTGAACGAAATTCACTAACATCTATTCGGGAATGGTGCGCCCTGATATTAAAGACTGATGTACAGTAGCGCGCTGTTCTCCCCTTTCAAATCACTCTTCCTTTGAGCACTAATACTCTCGTGAACTCGACCGCGCACGCACACACGCATTAACACGCACCCACCCCATACCAAACAAACGGACAAGTAAACAAACATCTACAACCATTCTCATAATCCATTGTCGGCGCCCACGCACGCACGCACGCACACGTGAAATCAACACGCGCATACGCATGCACACGTTCACATGCCAGATATGACACTGAAACTGTTTTTATCTTAATACCGATTTTTAGGGCCGAACGAATAAAGCGACCGTATGCTGATCGTAACGCAACGACGAAACTCTCGATTTGTTGACACTACGAACTGGGCGTTAAATTAAATTAAAAAGAAAAAATAAGAATAATAACAAATAGAGAGGAGAGTTAAAAGTAATGATACTAAGAAATAGGCAAACAAGTTTTTCAAATTTTTCACCGACGCGCCAACCCATTGCCACTCGCTGCCCCAATCAGCCCTTTTTGTAAATGTGTGTGGGCGCGTCCCGCCGTGTGTCGCGTCGGCGGGAGCGTTTTCTTCTTTCCACGATCCCGAGGGCGGAATGTTTTGTGTAAGGAAAGAACGGCGGGGAGCCGAGTGGGCTAGCAGCGTCGGTCGATCCAGGGCTCCGTCGATGCGTGCGACCGAGGCGAGCGCGTACGCCGCCTCCTCCTGCGCCTCCCCAGTCCCGGTGGCCCTCGGACGATCGAGGGTGAGGCTGGGAGCTGAGGCCATCCCACCCCTCCCCCTCACCGTTACCACGGGCGACTAGGGCGTTGCGTATTAAGCGCCGGCTCGGCATCGAGTCACTACGAACAAACGATTCGAACCTCGGCGACGAGGAGCATGACGAGCGTCCGGCCGAAAATTGATAACGAGGAGAAAAGTTTCAAGATATCTCACCTTATCCGCAAGAGAAACATTAAAATAACCTTTGCTCGTAAGATCGTTCTTAATAAACGTGTGTATATATGCATAAAACTATTCTTAAACTCCGCCACGTAGCGCGAGCGTGAGTTGCTTTTTTTTCACTGTATCTCACGAAAAAAAAATTCCGAGAAAAAAAAATTTAATAAAGCTACAAAAAATATGATGTGCTTATGATGTTTTACATGAAACACAAGTCCCCCCGAAATTTTCTCTTTATTTCCGTAGTGTGCGAGCTCGTTCATTTGCAGATGAGATATTCGTTATCTTTGAACGCGGATAAAGGATGATCGCTTGCGTTTGAGGCTATGAAACTTTGAATTCTTCCAGAGGATGATGCGCGCGAGCCGGCGCCCAAAAGTAAGAAAAGCTTTACTTAAGAACGGTCAATGACTCGAACTATTGTACTTCACGATATCTATTAAAGCAGGTAATTTATAAATAAGTGGGATGGACGAGCGATGAAACATGAATATAAATGAATATAAATTACGTAATTTGTATATTAGTGTATAGTATGTAGAGAAACAAAAAATGAAAAAATATGATAAACCAAGTCACGACAAAGAATCATTTTCGACGATGTTTTTTACACTATACGGTCGGTGCTGAGCCATTGAGCATTAAAATGTTGTAATCGTAATTTCACGAGTGTGTATTCATCGATACTGAAAGTAGAAGCATTTTTGAAGGGCGGGAGGGTGGAACGGGGTGAAAGTAAGCAACTAGCATCTGCTTATAATGCGAGTTGAAAAATCACACACACACACGCGCGCGCACACACAGAGAGAGAGAGAGAGGCTATTGGACCTATTAACAATTTAGACTATTTTCCAATACCCGAGACGCGCCACTTCCCATTGTTGACTTAGCAAGACGAACGACTGATTTTCCCGTTATTAAAGCGATTCGCAGTAGCCACCGATTGATTATTGTCAAATTTCAGTCATTTTATAGTATAGTGCCGTTCGGCCGTGCCCTTATTATTATTCCCTTGACGAGCAAATTTATTTATCGAAGTTTCATTTGACACTTGGATCGTCTTCTGGCAACGCAAAATTTCATGAAAGACGCTTTTCGCTTTTAACGAAACAAAAGTCAAATAACGGGAAAAAGTACTTCGCGATATCACTCACGAGGCTTTTCCCGCGCCTCTCTGTACTTTCAAACCTACACTAAATACATTATTCGATGAAAATTTATTGCCAGGCATATTCTTGTCGATTGCCTGACATTTGCGCTGCTACAATCGACTAAAAATACTCGAACGCCATCGTCACATCATCGTGACTCGGAAACATTTCATAGGCTAAATAAATCGATGAGAAATTAAAAATAGTTCAAATCCTTCCATGGCTCTCTATCTCTCACTCACTCTCACTCACTCTCACTCTCTCGTTCTCTCTCTCTCTCTCTCTCTCTCGTTCTCTCTCACTCACTCTCACTCTCTCTCGCTCTCTCTCTCTCTCTCTCTCTCTCTCTCTCGCTCTCTCTCTCTCTCTCTCTCTCTTTATCTGTCTTATATGTCTCTCTTATACACACGCGCACACGCATACAGAGTCACATAGCTTAATTTAGCAAGAATTATTTCATTGCTCGATACTCGGGATTCTTACCTCAATCAATGCCGTTTCCTCTATTCCCTGTGTTGATTTAGAAAATTGCCGGGTGCAGGCTCGGGGATAAATTTCGGTGGAACGTCGCGTGTAACTAAGTGTCCACGTAGGATTATAGAGCTGAGCGAAGAAAGTTGGGAAAAACTCGATATAACGAGAAGTAAAGAGAATCCAATGATGCCGCATACTCGCTCTGTCTTTAAATATTTTTTACGGGTTTTGTTGTTCGTCGAGTGATGACGGGGCGCCGATTGGCTAGAAATCCGTGAAAAACCATCGATCGACTTCAATTATCAAACGATCGGCTCATTACATTGTTCCATTATAATTGGAACAATGCAATAATCTCAATATAATCCATCGTCGTCTATGTAAAATTGCATTTTCTACACACACGCAAGTACGTACCTGAAATTTGCTTCGCCTCCTGTTACGTCCAACCGCTTGGTTATTTTCAAATTGGTTCACCGAGTCGTCGGAAAAATGTCAACCAACAACAACCCAAGGATTTTCAAACCAAATTCTCCCCCTCCCGTCTCTCTCTCTCTCTCTCTCTCTTTATATATATATATTTTTCTCATTCGACTCGTTGCCTCAACAAAATCCTTTTTTCCGACCATCTCCACGACATAAGCACAGCAACCATGCCATGCGAGGCGCTTACCTACTTACCTTACCTTAACGTTAATTGTTGGTTGGCATATTCCCAGCGATGTCAGGATGATTTATAAATAAGCGCACTTGCTCATCCTTACAAGCCAGAATGCAAAATCAAGGGATTTCGTGTTGAGTCGTCGCGTCGGTGAGAAACGGCTTCGGGAAAGGCAAATTTCACGCTGATAGTTGCGCTAGTTCATAGTTCGTTTCCCATTTTTTCTTTTTTTTTTTTTTTTTTTTGGATGCATTTCAAACCCACATTTCTCGCTCCCATGCACGCACACACACACACACACATCTCCAGTTATCGTCATACGCGCAGACTTACACGCAAGCAACACGACACTTCATGATATTTGGTAACGATTTAACGATAATCTAAATGTAACATGTATATGATGGTTGTACAAATGTAACATTTTTTTCCATTGTGTATGGATGAGGACGATTATTAAGAAAAAATATATATATAATAAGGCTAAAAGGAAGTAAACGGAAGAAATTGAGATGCAAAAGTAAAAACGTGATAAAAACAAAAAAAAGTGCACGCGACTAGCCAGGATCGTGGAGGTCCTAGTAGCGCAGCGGATACGTGCACCGGCAAAGTCCATCGTCGATCGATTATATCACGAAAGAGTGACTTACCAATAAATTACCGTTACTTTTCATTATTATAAAATACCATTTCTGTAATAACATTATGATATAAAACCCATACATTGAATGGCATCGAAGCTGTTTTTCTTTTATAAACCCGATCACCACTCGACAAATCCTACGTCATCCGCTCCCCGATCACAATTATTATTATTATCCACCAGCGCATTGTTATCCTCATCGTCGTCGTCGTCCTCCTCCTCATCATCATCGTCGTTGTCGGCGGCGGCGGCGGCGGCGGCGGCGGCAGCATCGGACGACGAGCAACGACTAAATGAGTTCAGCAAAATAAAAAATACGTGTCCAACAGCTTTTTTTTTTTTTTTTTTCATTTTCTCGCTTTATTTGACCTTACTTTTAAGAGTGTACATTTTACAATTTCATTATATTTACAGGACGTGGTAATTACTTGAACGTGGCTTGTACGAATAAAATTCAATAATCCAACGTATATATTAAAAATAATCTTATAAAGGTATGTGAAAGTATAGCTCGTATTGCCGTGGTCCGGGCCATACGTGAAATTACTACTATGGAAAATGTAAATTAAAATTCCCCGGGCGGGGCTAAACGAGCGCCTTCGCCCCCCCCCCCAACCCCCGATCACGTTGTTACTTCTCGTCAACGTACGCGCACCAGGAGGCAGCGGCACATCGGGGCTTACGGCTAATCGACCTTACTCGCTCTCCTCTTTGGAGCGCTCTCGCTCCGAGCGCCGTGATTTCTTTTTGCGGCGACTGGGACTCCTGGATCGTGATTTGTGACGGCGTGAACGCGACCTGGAATCATGTCGATGACGGCTGAAATTGTGACAGTAATTTGATGCCAAACGTCGCACTCACCTTTCTTTGTGCCTGTACTGCAGCCGTGACCTGTCGCGCTCGCGGTCGTCCTCCCTCGTCGACGACTCGATCTCCCTCTCCTCCCCTCCTCTCCTCGAGTCCTTTTCCCTCTCCCGATCGCGGTCTCTGTCCCTATCCCTATCCCGCTCCCGCGCCATCGCCTCCTCGTACTCTCGGTCACGTTCCCGGCCCCTCTCCCGATCTCGCTCCCGGTCCCTGTCCCTCGCGTCTCTCGGGCCCATCGACGACATCGACGGTGGGACCATCATCGGCATCGATTTGGGCCCCTGCTCTTTCATGTCCTCGCCTGTTAAGGGGATAGTTATATTTGACGGCTGCCAGGTCTGAAAAGAAAAAGCATTTTTTTTCTTCTTACAGAATAATAACGATCGTTATGTTTCTGTATCTCCTTTCTGCCCATCTCGCTTATCGCTCGTTTACAATAGCAAAACTCTGGGAACCCACCATAGCATAAACACAATACATCTAAATAAAAAAAATAAAAAAGAATATATATATATATATATACGTAGGTACGCACGCGCACGAGCGCATTTCAATATATACAGATGTGCGTGCGTTCGTGTGAGTGTGTGCGCATGTGCGTGCGCGTATGTATATATATATATATATATATATATATATATACATATGTATATATGTATATATATGTATATATGTAGTATGGGTGTATGGAATTTGCGTATGCGTGTATATGCGCGTGAGTGCGCTTGGACGCGCTCTCGCAGGTGCCTTTAAGAATTTTTGCTTTTCCTAGACTGAGGTTGCTTTTTTAGCGTCCTTACAACTCTCGCACATACGGCATTTCCCCGCTGCTGCGCCGAAGCGTTAATAAAGCGACTTGCCGGACAGTTTGTAAATTGCGTGGGCCCAAAGAAAGTTTTCTATATTACATAGGTCATTACGTGGAGAGTGGAATAATGAAAGTAACGGCGTGCTTGCGTTATGCTTGTCTAAATAGATTATTATAGTAAGTATTGTTGCAATCAACTTTCTTCGATACATCAAACATATAGACGATTAAGACAATTAAAAAAGATAAAAGATTTTCTTACAGGATCGTTACCCCACTGCCTGTCTTGGGTTGGCTCGTAGCTGTGATAATACGGATCGGGCTCTGGTATGAAATAGGGTACAACTGGCTCTTGATAACCAGGCGGTGGCATATCGAACGAAGGTGGTATTGTAGGACCTGGCGGAGGGACACTCATGTCCGGAAAGCCACCGGGCGGTTTCCGCGAATATTCCCGCCTGTCTGCAGTCATCACTTGGATTACATTTTCCTTTGGCGGCGATTTGTCCAAGTTTCTTCTAGAAGCTAAACCTGTACTACCGATAACGTCTATAGTTCCTGCCATTTTACGACCTGGCGGAGGTCCTGCTCTTTTTGGCCCAACAATACCTGAATATTTGCTATTATAATTGGTAATCGTCACTTGTGGTACTCTCGATCCTGGATTCGCCACATTTCCAGGTGCGCCAGTGCCGGCATTTAATATTAATCCTACACCAGATTCACTTCTCATTCGCTTCTGTCGCTCACAGTAAGCTCTCCAAGTCTCTTCGTTAAATCCGTAGTTAAAGTAGTCGGTTATGTCAGCTCCAGGCTGCCTCCACGGCTTATCCTCTAATTGGTCTAAATTGTATTCGTGCGCAGGTATGCCGTTTATCACACCGATAGTCTCAAACTCGTCTATACTAAACTTTCCGGACTGCTGCTTCAGCTTATCCGGGCCTGCACCCGATGACGTCAACAAGCCGCCTCGCTTTATATTTAAACTGCTGTACTGCGCAGGAGTTGACTTTATGTCCCCGATAACTACGTGAACGTCGTCGTCCGACTCGGAGTCCGAGGCCCCATCCTCGTCGTCCTGGTTCTGGCCGTCGTTCGTCCCGTTCTCCTTCGCCTCATTGGACAACGAGTCCTCATCCTGATTATGCTCCTGGTGCTCGTTATCACCATCAAAATTATCCCCACAAGCTGCATCTCGAGCATCATGGATCAACTGAAACAAGGTAAACAACGACTGTTTATGCCGAGTGCCACGATGCCGGCCTCGATGTAGCAATCTCCCAGCAACCGACGGCGATCCCTATTACCACCGATCCTCGATCGCGCCCGACCAAATAACGTACCGATCGACCGCCCGACACCGAGCTACAATAATATAAACACTACTTGTTAGGTTATGCTACCTCCTCCATTTCGGGCGCCTCGCTCTCATTCTCCCCACGGGTATCGTCGTTCTGCTGATGATAAGGCTCATCCTGATTATTGTAGTCCACCTCGTTCTCAGCTGGCTGACTATCCGAATTCTCAGGGAAGCTGTCTTTCCCATCTCCCGAGTCGCCGTACAACCATTGATCCTCGTTCTCATCCGCCATTTTTCCGCAAAAACGCGGCCGCCCGTCGCAACTCGCAGGCGCTAATGTCGTGAATCGCCTCAACGACGACATCATCAACGAGACCGCGCTGCTCGAGCGGACCGAGCGCCCTCGCACTCGGCGCGTCGATCCCCAAAACTAAAGTCTGCTCTACTACTCTAGACTTTATTCTCCTTCCTTCGATTATCATTATTGCGGCGCTAGGAGATTGCGGCAACGCTATAATTTCTTGTTTTTCTCATTGTTTGTTTGATTGTTTATTATCCACCATTTTTTCCATCATTTATTTTTCTTTCTTTCTTTCTTTTTTTTTTTTCTTTTTCTTTTTCTTTTTCTTTCCCCCCCCCCCCCACTTCCGTTCATGCTGACTCTCGTCTGCTGTTCCTCGACGGCTACAGCCGCTAATACCTAATGATCTCGAGTACTAACGCTACCAACGAAATCGACAGTACCTTATTAGGTTCTTTTGATTTTTATTTATTTATTTTTTGTTTTTTGTTTTTTGTTTTTTGTTTTTTGTTTTTTGTTTTTTGTTTTTTTTTTCTATTTCTTTTTGACGTCTTGGCAGATCAATATTACGAGTGGGATTAACGAAATGCGACTTCCGTGACAGTTACGTTGGCTCCCAACGACGCGTACCTAACAAAAAATATGGAAGCTTCCAACAACAAAAAATAAACGTTATTTAGGCGCCACCCTCGACCGACTATCGGCTCCACCATCCAATTATCACACATTCTTTTCATCAACACTATTGACACATACTCATAATCATAATATTCATTATCAAGCATTTTACGTTTAAGAGTAAGTAATTAATCGCCTGGAATCACAAGACAATTGTTGTCTACCATTGTTTTTCCATAAGTCTGTCGGGGATCCATCCAGGTTCCATCAGTCGGGGATAATAATAATAGTTACGTAATGCAATAAAAGGTGAAGTGTGTGGGAGGGGGGGAGGTGTTAAAAATACATATAATAATGAATATTCATTTTGCTGGCTTTTCATGCGCTTTCCCAGGTGTTCGTAATTGTCGTATCAGGAATTTTTGTAAGCCCCTACATTATCGTTCTGTATTCATTCGAACGTAATTCATTATCGAGACACGTAACATTAAAAATAAAATTAAAATTAAAAAACAAATAATAATAATAATAATAATAATAATAATAATAATAATAATAAAAATTAGAGAGAGAGAGAGAGAGG